GATGATCGTTCGGCGAAAGCGGATCAAGTGGCTCGTTTTGATTAATGATTGGCCAATGGTATGACGAGCGACCGCAGGGGCTAATTTCAATTTATCTGGCTCGACCACACGGACGCTCCCGCAGCAAACAGAACTTAAATTTATGAGCAGTTAACCGATATTAGATAGAGCCGATGTAGGCTTTCGCTAAGCTCTCACCCGGGGATTTTCTCTTACCCGTGTGTTTCTTCTTCTTTCGTTCGCCCTTTTACCATTACTCGTGGTTCTTTTTTTTTTTAATCGACTCGTTAAGCTGCAAGGTGGAAAAATTAGTACACCAGATTTCAGACATCCTTAAGATTTCACATTGGCTTAACGAATTTAACCGATTGTGAAAGATAATTTTTAGGGTATTTTCAAACTTCTTTTCTAACGGTAGTCACGCCTTTTGTCAGTGTCAGTCTTCAATTGATAAATAACAATTTTTTTCCAATCCGTTCTGTAAAATACCTAATTATACACCGATCTAGCGCGCGGAAAGTGTCATTTTACCACATCAGTTTCGTTTATCACCGATCCGAGACACTTCGGATATTTCCGGGATATTACCGCAGGGGTTTAGGAGCAATCGGATGTTTTCGGAGATATTGCCGCACGGCTTGAATTTTGACGTTTGTCAATTCTGACAGTCACGTCAGCTAATGTATTTTTAAGTAACTCTTTTATTAGACACTCATGACTCAAATGAAACTTAGAAAGACAACTTATTCTTGAAAATAATCAAAATCAAGTCGAATTTTTTGTACTAATGGCTAGACCCATTTCTGCCAAGAATCCATACAATTCGTTAAAAAATTGTTTTAGAAAAGCAAGATGTCTTGACGGAACTACCTTACAGATGTTGGTTTGGATTTCAATTAGTAAAGACATTGTCAATACAATATAATAATTCCTCTCTTATATATACAGGCACAGAATATACAGCTACGGAGTGGAAAACACACGATTGATTTGTAGCAGAACAAAACATTTGAAAATGGATATAAGAATGTGAAATTAAATTATGCATCGCACCATTCGTTGATAAATGAATCCCAACATATAGGCGGCTACCATCAGTCAAAAATAATATAACATCTTTCAAAATTTTTAATAGAATCAAGGTACCCAATATCATATAAAAGTTCAAAAATGGAAAAGGATCCCGGATGTTCTATTTTAAATAATAAAGTTAAATGCATTCAAGGGTATGTATGTATTATGGTAACTATGTTGTATATAAAATTTATGGATACGATAAACTTACAGAGATATTAAAGATCACGCAGTAATAAGTTACCCGGTCCATGTGTACTGAGTGTCCCAGTAAGGGTAAAGAGGATTCAGGCAGTTGAAAGAAAAATATTGTGAAGAAAATCAGCCAAAGGAAAATCGCTATAACTTATTTCTGAGTTTTTTATCTTAGCCCTTAGATGTTCTTTTATTTACCATAGTACTGTTTTAAAGTTGAAACAAAATCACATCTTTTTTGTTTAATGCTCTTGACTCTATTTCTGAAGGAGTGGGAGTTTTCGAACATTTTGGGAAAAAAATGTTGATAAAACTCCAAACGAGATTAAGGCGTTCTATTGGACATGGAGTCGCTAAAAGCGCTACTAAAGATATACAGACTCTCTCTATGCCCATGAAAGAGCCACTTATGAAGCCACCATGAAAAAAAATGGACATTCAACATGGCCGTTGACAGATTGTCAATAAGTTTGTCTGCAGCATTTTTAAGGCAGTATTTTCTCAAAATATGCCTAGATTTTGTGGAGAGAAAACGAGGTAAGTGTGTCTAATATATAATAATAATCTAATCCCTATAAATATTAAAACGGGATCAATCGTGCTATGATTGAGATTGCGATTGCTTGCCGTGCCACCAGATGGAGGAAAAAAGGAATGCAACAATATGACTTTCTTTACATCAATGCCGAACTTGAAACAGATCACATCTAGAATATGCTGCTTCAGTATGAAGTCCCAATTTCAGCTGACATATACAGCGGATAGAAAGTGCTCGGCGCAAATTATGCTGTACAATAATCTGGAGGTCCACTATACTGACCTCTGCCCAGCATTACATTTAAGAACTCTCGTCTCCTGAAGGAAACAGAGAGACTTAAAATTAGTTCAGAGACTGATCAACTCTACAATCGACTGCCCTCTGTTAACATCAAGGATTGGTCTACATGTTCCATCCTGAAATACTCGTGCTACACGTTTATTCCACCAGGAGTTCCGTAGAACTAATAGGCAGTAATATTTCCTTAGATTTTTTTAACTTTTACAACAATAACGCTTATATTATACATTAGTTTTAGTTCTAGTTCTCTTTTAATGAATAACGAAGATGTGGTTTGGAGTTTGTCATTCACGCGGATCAAGATGAAGACACAGTAACTTAACCTAGTAAGACGAAGACGAAGTAAGCTAAAACTGCGCAGTATTTTTTCGATCAATGAGCACTCACATAAAACGCTATTTACTAGAGTATAAAAAGGGTTGGCGAATTTGGAAATGAAAATCAGAAATGTTAAGACCGATGGAGCGTGGAACCGGTGTGGCAAAAGCAACTAGCTAATAAAAGCCGAAACGCCTACTACATTTTGAATCGTATTCCAAGCGACTAAGTCAGTAGCTCCAGTAGTAACATCAAATAGATTAGAAAGTGGGGAACCTATTTGCCACTACTACTGAGCAATGACCTTAAAGCCGACTGTAAATTCATGTTTTTCTAAATTGTGTTTCTGGAGACCACTAGAAAGAACACTAATAAAGTTTTTCCTCCTTTCGCGTGACTTATCTATCCGCACTAGCTAGGTAAATACGATACTGGCGGTTAGATAAAATATCTAGTCCTAATTTTAAAACAGTAAAACTAGTTTATACAAGTACCGCGAAAAAGCTGAATCGCATCGCTATAAATGTTTTATTGCTAATTGTTAAATTTGTAATGGTCCACGAAACCTTCCCCAGTTGACGTGATTGGTCCCAAGGGATTGGTATCGTAAAGCAATTTAAATCTGGTCGAAACAGTTACAGCGTCTGAGCTCGTCTGCCATAGCTGCTATTTCGTCCCAAGCTGCCTTTTTTTAACGCCTTTGTGGTGGAGAGAATTTTCTCAGAGTTTATTCAACTTATAAAATATGGAATAAAGTTCTATCCGGGTTTATCGCAATAACAATTTGTGCAGTTATCGTGTGCACAGTAAGACAAAAGAGGGGAAAGAATGTAATAGGAAGAATGGCGTACTTTATAACCTACGAATTAAGATTACGTTTGATGTGATTATCTATTTTGTTCCATTTCAACAATACACACTAGCTTTTCATTTGACAGGTTACGATTTTTTGATCTGTTGTCAATTTAACGTTCTACGTAAGTTTTGTTATGATTTAAAAACTTGATTTTATATTATGAAGTCAACGGAGATTTAAAAAAGAAAGCATGTTTAGGAATTTTTTATAATCACAGGGAACGTTATATTGACACTGAAAAAACAGTTCATCACAGTTCATAACAGGTTACTTCAGTCAAAACTGTAAACTGAAATGGCTACAACCCAAAGGGCGAACTACAGAGGAATTTGGTGGACATCAAAAAAATGAAAAGAAGTAAAAGAATTCAAATTGATTTGAAATAAACTTTAAACTCCACCCTTTGCTATAAACATTTCCACTTTTCAGGTTTATAAGAATTTTGGTAATCGGCAAAAACAAGACGAGAAACACTTTACATCGATTTTAATAAGTAAATTTGTCATAATCAAAAAAATTCTTAAAGCAGAAGACGCCGAGCTTTCTTACTAGCATTTTTTTTTTAAATATTGTACAGTATATGGTATTCATTTGCAAAAAGATATCAAATAACTTTAAATTATTAGATAGATGTCTGAAACACTGCTTAATGTCTTGCATCTTCCTATATATAAAAACGAATTAAATATCAGAAACATTGCCCGTAGCGCCATCTTCGCCATTCTAAAACATATTAGGTCAGAAACGCTTCTACTAAAAGACTATTCCAATTTCTGGCGAAGGACCTGGGATACGGAATCAACGGAAAGAAGCACACAGAAACTCTCCTAAAAATACATTGTATTACGTCAGCCAGGTGTATTTAGTATCTTTGCGATTGAATCTAAAATTAGATTTTAAATGGATCTTTCAGATTTTAGAAATGCACGGCACACACACACACACACACACACACACACACACACACACACACACACACACACACACACACACACACACACACACACACACACACACACACACACACACACACACACACACACACACACACACACACACACACACACACACACACACACACACACACACACACACACACACACACACACACAAGCACAGGCACACAGGTACCGACTAAATTCGAAAAGGATCTATTTTCAGATATTGTAAACTGAGACAAATCTGTTGCCAACTCGAAAAGTACATCTGAGGTACGCGGAGAGTTAATAATTATTTATGGTGACAGTCGAAAAGGAAATAAAATTCTCTCAGGTATTAAACAATCAGCAAACTAAACGGGCTATAATTTTTTTCATAGAATACAAATATTAAATTGTTTTTCCACTATAATGTTTAATTCCTTAAAACGTATTTTTATCATGTGATCTAATATCCAATGTCAAAACGAACCTCCCTAGTTCGTAAGTTTTTATGTTAAGTAAGAAAATGAAGTTAAAAGTTACCTAATTCCTATAATTTTATGGTCCTAGTGCAAGATGTGCAATGAGCTCATAAAAGAAGTCCACCAATGAATAAGAAAATGTATTCTTAAGGTAACAAAAAAAATCTAGAGCGTATATTAATTAAATCAGTTCCGTCAGGGCAATAGATAAGAAATTAAAAAAATGATTTGATACGTTTTTCGATGCTTTATTAATGTTGTATCTAACTAAAAAAACTACACACACAAAATGAACATAATTTATTAAATTAGCACAATTTATTAATTACATTTTGGTTTAAAAGTGTTTTAAAATATTTGTTAAAGAATAGGACAATAATAATAATTGGTGTAATAAATTAATTATTTACAAGGTTTGTACAAAAAGAATTATATTATCGGTCCCTGATATATTCAGAAATATAAAACTCTATTAAAAATTCGGGCTACCGTTCTCACCTTTCGACAAGTATATACACAGTATACATACGCTTTCAAAGGATAATTTAAGTCGGGCCAGACAGTTTAGCACAACAAAATCAATGCTCGAGAAAAATAACAAAACCGTATTACAAAATTGTATTTTAACGCCGTTAAAAAGCTATGCATCTTATGCAACGCATAAATTCGCCTCCATTGTAAAATTATTAATTGTAGACTTGTTTGTTTTAAAATTATTTGAGTTTCAACGTTATCGAAGCGGCAACGATAGGCGTTAAAATGCCACCTTAGCTGTTGAAATATTTTTGATGTATTTTCACGTTAAGTAATTGACCATGATTCGTAAGTAGTGATTACAGTCTTTTGCCACAGAATATTTTACAAATATACATTATTTTCACTCGAGTTCCCACACGCTTAGCTGACGTAGCTGTCTTTGTACTGGCATCGGTCTCCTTCATATCCGCTGGGACACCTGAAAAAATTAAAATTCCGTCATAACTTTTCCGACAAAATTAAAGATAGGTGATTATAGATAAATATTAGCTTATTTGATTATCGTTACAGGAATTAAATTTATATTCCTATCTAAGTAAAAAAAATGAAACGTTTTAACTTCGAAATGATATTCTAAAATATGATGAAAATCAAAATTTCAAATAAAAAATGTCCAAACTGAACTTGCTTTCAAATTCCCCTCGCCGCAATAGGCCAAGGCTACCTTAAATCGTATTGACGTTCTATATCATTATATCCTATATCATTTCTCATTACTTGATGGTCAGTTAATTACGTCAGGATGGAGACATCTTACTACATGCTAGACGGTGCAAATTACAAACTATCTAGAGGCCCGATTCTAGAAACTATAAAATGACGTTCTACTATTAATAGGTGTTCTGTTTTTGTCACTTAATTGAAATTTGATAAAATCTGAAATAACATTTAACGTCATGGTTTCAAAATTCCTAGACAAAAATTTACTCTAGTGCCTTTTGGCGTTTAACGATAAGGACATTTAGAATTACACTTGGTTCATTCTGCTATCGCTGCGATGTCATATTTTAAACACTGCGCTCAATGTTTGTCATAGGGCCAATTGAATTTTGTAGCTTAGCTTAGCTTAGTTACTAACTAAAATATTAGGTTTACTTACATGCAATATCGTTCCAAGGGATCGAGATCTTCGAAACATGTGCCGCCGTTCAGACAGTACTTAGTGGCATATTCAATCGGACATTGTTTTTCTGAAAATATACGTGATTATTTAGAAAAGTCAACTCAAAAAAAAAGCTGTTTTTGCTACCGGAAAACAATGAATGGGCGGCTCAAAAACCCTAGACAGATTAGAGATAGGAAGAGTGTGTGTGTGTGTGTGTGTGTGTGTGTGTGTGTGTGTGTGTGTGTGTGTGTGTGTGTGTGTGAGAGAGAGAGAGAGAGAGAGAGAGAGAACAAAACATCCTTGTGGATGTAGTCAATTATATTTTATTAATTTAAAAATTTTGTTAAATATTCTTGTTAACTTCAATGTTTTTCAATGTTTTCCAGATTGACTCCATAAGCAGGAAAAGACAGGGAGCATGAAAAGACACGATAGAGGGCCTGAATATGAGACACAGTAGCAGAAAAGCCTGGAGCCTCATAAAAAAGCTATCAGGAGACCCAACATCTTCAAAAGACCAAGTAAATGTCACCGCCAACGAAATCGCACATCAACTACTCCTAAACGGTAAGCCTGATCAAACTGTAAAAGTGACTCCCACCTTCAGGATGACACAACAGCCTAGACAATCTAATGAGGCTTTCTTTACCATTGCAGAACTGAAAACTGCAATCAAGTCTCTGAAGGTCAGGAAGGCCCCAGGCCCAGACGAAATCCTGAATCAGTTTCTGATAAATCTAGGCCCATCAGCCCAGAACTGGATTCTACAAATGTATAACTCCTGCTGGACCAACAATACAATCCCAAAATTGGGGCTAAAAGCTAAAATCGTAGCCGTCCTTAAACCGGGGAAACCAAGGGAAGATGCTAAAAGCTACCGTCCGGTGTCACTGTTGTGCTCCCCTTTCAAACTCTACGAACGCCTTATACTTAACAAGTATGGGCCCCAAATCGAGAACCATCTAATTGCCCAGCAAACAGGATTCAGACCTGGGAAATCCTGTACTGGTCAGGTACTAAGCCTCATCCAACACATTGAGGACGGCTTTGAGAGAAAGGAAACCACGGGGGCCGTCTTTATAGATCTAACGGCGGCATATGACACCATAAACCATAAAATATTACTAGAAAAAATTTGAGAATGACAGGAGACTACCAGCTGACGAAAGTGATAAAAACAATGCTATCTAACAGAAGATACTATGTAGAGTTCCAAGGAACGAGAAGCCGTTGTAGGAACCAGAAGAATGGCCTTCCTCAAGGTAGCGTGCTAGCACCCATGCTTTTCAATGTTTATACTAACGACCAACTAATAGACCCATCAACAAGAAGCTTTATATACGCCGACGAAGCAGCTATCGCCTGCCAGTTAAAAAACATCGCAGAGATAGAGGAGCAGATAACAGAATCCCTATCAAGACTGAATGATTATTACAGATCAAATCAGCTCCGCCCAAATAAAGCGAAAACGCAAACATGCCTTTTCCACCTCAATAACCGACAGGCGAGAAGGGAACTACAAATAGAATGGAACTCAGTCAGACTGCAACACTGCCCAAACCCAGTCTATCTAGATGTTACATTAGACAGCTCCCTAACGTTCAGAAAGCATATCGATAAAACCAAGGTCAACACCAGAAACGGCATTCTCCGGAAACTGACTAATGCTTGATGGGGGGCAGACCCTAACGTCCTGCGCTCCTCGGCCCTCGCACTGTGCTACTCCGCAGCCGAGTATGCATCCCCCGTATGGGAGAGATCATCACATGCCCATAGACTGGACCCTGTCCTGCATGACACGTGTAGATTAATAACCGGATGCCTAAAACCCACTAACCTTTATCAGCTTTACATGCTAGCCGAAATTGCACCACCGCAAATACGTAGGGAAACCCTAGCCATGGCCGAACGAAGCAGACAATGTGAAGACACCAGACATCCTATGTACCAATATATTCCGGCAGCGGCCAGACTGAAATCAAGGCGAGGCTTTAGGTAATCTACACAGCCCCTCACAGCCTCTAAAACTGCTACCAAGGAGACAAAATGGGAACAGCGCCTAGCAATCAACGACATCTCAACCTATAATATAAAAGAAAAACTTCCTGCAGGCTCTGACTGGGGTAACTGGAAAACCCTCAACCGACTCCGGTGCCAAATGGGGAGATCCAAGAACAACCTCCTGAAGAGGAAACGTGTGAATGTGGAGAATCCCAGACAATGGAGCACCTTCTAGCGTGACAAACCCTACAAGCTCCATGTACCATCCGGGACCTTTGGACGTGCAATGAAAATGCTGTGAAATGCGCCAGACACTGGAGTGATATATGAACAATATCTAATTATTTCTAGTCACAAGTTGTAGTCAGACACGATTAAATAAAAAAATCACAACATAAAGCTAAAAACGTTTTAGAATTTAGAATTTTGTATTAAACACTTAATAAAATAGCAGCGTCAAGTCTTCCCCACAATGACAGCCCTACTTTCTGGCCCCCTGCAATCTCCAATTCCTTATGTAGCGCTCAGCTTGACAAAGATTATAACGGACCAGAAAGTGGAGCTGTAATGTATAGCGCAGACCACTTCATAAAGTGATTTTATTTTATTATAACATATTAACACCCGCATTTTTGGACTGGCTGACAATATTAGAACACATAAAAACAAAACGATTGTATAGAATTTCATATCTCACTATCATCAATCTCACTCAAAGGTGAAGAGGTGGTCGTGGTGACGCGTATTTTCACTTGAACGTCAATACTCCTCGACTTGTAGGAATGGTTGAGATCCCAGGCAATGCACTCATACCGACCGGAGTCCTGCTCGCTCGCATTTCGAATTTTCAGTGTGCTCCGTCTTCTGGGAAACGAAAACTATTTTATAGTTATAAAATTCAGCAATATTTTCAAACAAAAAAGGGTTTATCACTTTATTATATAATTTTATTAAATAATTAATTATTAATTATATTATATTAATAAAGTAAAGTCGACCGAAATTTAACTTTTAACGTTGTACAGATCTAAAATCTTGCGGCATTTCTTATGGCTTGCTACCAAGCGAAGTCTGCTTACAAAGTCAAAAGGAATTAACTAAGTATATACAATTTAAGCGAATATTTATTTACTTAACAAGTTTGATCCAAGGAATCTGTTTTAAAAACTATCAAAAAAAGCTGACTAAATGTTTTGCTAGCCTCGCAGGAAATTCTTCCAAGAAAAGAAACTTATTACATCAATTAACAAGTAAACATCTAAAAACAAAATTGGCATTTCCCGTAATTGATGAAATTATCTGATTGGAATGTGCAAATCTCATATGCAACTAAGAAGTAGATTACCTAGAATTTAACATAAATTTTAATTGACTGATTGAGTGATAGTAGTTTAGAGCCAATTATTTTGGTTTACTTAAATAGTCTGTTACAAAATTTATAGCTTTTTGAATTAAATTTATTATTAAATTTTAATTTACATCTCGTAGTGCTATGACTTTAGGGAAACGGGAAAAAATTTAACTTTCTATATGGACTATTATTTCAATTCCGTTCTGAGTAATACTATATTTTAATAATAGAAAATATTATATATTTTGAATATTTTGGTTTTTTCCTTTTTTCCAAAAATATAGTACACTTACCATTTTGCTGAAAGGGTACTGATATCCATGTGCGGATTTTAGCATTACGTTGATTTATATTGGTTTCCCCTTAAACATGTTGAATTATATATATATATATATATATATATATATATATATATATATATATATATATATATATATATATATATATATATATATATATATATATATATATATATATATATATATATATATATATATATATATATATATATATATATGTATATATATGATGACACTATACTCCGGGATATCATCCGTTCACTCGTTGAACTCCGACTGGAATCCTGCATCCGACTGGAATCCTGCAAATCCTGCATCCGACTGGAATCCTGCAAATCCTGCATCCGACTGGAATCCTGCAGACGTTTCGCCAAAATCTCACTTGGCATTGAAGATGCCAAGTGAGATTTTGGCGAAACGTCTGCAGGATTCCAGTCGGATGCAGGATTTGCAGGATTCCAGTCGGATGCAGGATTCCAGTCGGAGTTCAACGAGCGAACGGATGATATCCCGGAGTATAGTGTCATCACATTTTTCCATCCGTGAATCAATACGTGAGAATATATATATATATATATATATATATATATATATATATATATATATATATATATATATATATATATATATATATATATCATGAGAAAAAGGTGGATAAATTCCTACAGAGTCAGCTTAAACACTAAAAACTTCCTTGAGAAGCAATTTGATATTTTGAATGTTCCCAAAAACAACTTACTTAACGTAAGTAATCTGCATGTGGGTGTTATTAGTCAGCGTTACGTTATTTTTCCTCCACGTTATCCTTGGAAAAGGAAGTCCCGTCGACCTACAAACCAACTTGAGTCGTTGTTTTCTTCGTTTGATTTGCTTTTTCATGTTCCACGAAGACTTGTCCTCCAATTTTGAGATGGACACTGGTTTCGGTCCTGCAATGTGAAATTTTAATTTATTAATAAATTATTTTACCAGGGCGTTACTCATGGATAGATTTTAATTCGAGCGTTGCTGCACAAAATTCAAGCATAACTAGTGGATAATAATTTTCAAAAAAAAAATTATTATCTCAAAGACTATTATGGATATATTTTTGAAATTTGCAAGGCGGATTAACTGTAACTGACGACGTAGGCCACTAGAACCACTATTTTTGACAAATGACAAATAAAATTATACATCACTTTATTATTGTGCAGAAAGAAAGAGAGAAAACATTTTTCTTGGGGATATTTTTTATATAGGACTTTGGTAAATTTGGTGACAAATGAATATCACTCAAGGATCGTTAAGATATGAACAATAAAACGAGCAACTAGAATTATGACCTAAACGCACTGGGCATTCACGCGGGAAAGAAAAGTTAAGTTATTTTACGTTACATTATATTACACGATTAATACTGAAGTATGAAATTTTAGTTCTTTAGTTTTAGTATTAGTGTACGCCGGATCTAGTGTTTGACTAGTATGTATGTCATTCCACATTAACATTCGTTTCGATATTATTTTTTGTACTGTATCTTCGAGGATGGTACATATTCCTAATCCATATGCTATAGAAACTTGAACCAAGGTCTTCATTAATATGGTCATTTTTAATGCATGAAAATATATGAAAAAATGGTACTATATAAACAGGTTAAAAATTTACTGTTTCAGCACAAACCACAAGTCGTATGTTTAAGAATCTAAAATCCACCACCCTGACTTATAACACGCAAATAACAGACGAAAATGTGCTTTAGTACGAGATACCTTTATTAGGTGTTAGAAGCTGTCGAAGGACCGACCAGAAGTGCTGTCGCAGTGTTACGCACCGCTAAGTGTCGAAGCGGTAAGCCCTTGCATCGTCAAACGCGGTGTTTGTTTATAAACATGGTGTTTTAGAATAATAAACAAGCTTGGTGCACTTTAAAACAAATCAACATAAACGAACGACGGGTGTAATGTACTGAATCAGCCTTCGCAACAGATGTTTTAATAGTTCTCGCTGCACCAATAGTGGAACGTCTGGCATAAGGAAGGCAAATTGCATGTCGCATTATATATGGTGTATTTACGGATAGTGATGTCAATGGAACGATTCCCGGACAAATTAATAGGCCGTTTAAAATTACTCCGCCACTCGAAATTTTGTTGGGCGATCCAAAAACGGAGAACGCGTCGGTGTAATTGGATAAGCGTTTATAACAATATTGTCGGATGGTAAATGACAGGCAATATTCGCCAAATACTAAATGGTACTCACTCAACGGCTATAAATACTGTTAAACCCTGACGCGTACGATTTTCCTTAAAGCTCCTTCAGAAATAAGTAACCCATGCAACAGAGACGCAATAAAAAAAGTACTTGGGTGCTACAGCCTAAAATTGGAATACATAAATAAATGAATTACGGGTAACCCTAAGTCAAAAATAAAATTGAATTGGGCAACTTAAAGCCGTGTGGTTAATTAAAAATTCTAAACTGTTATCCATTGTGTCGCCCCGTTTATTTTGTTATCTTATATATTGCAATTCTATTAAATAAATAAATAAATATAAAAGTAGGAATAAATGTCGTTTTTCTGCCCGTTTGCAAACATTTTAGCCATTAAAAAAATACCTATACGTATAAAAGTGTAGTCCCATATACCTAGTTTAATATTATTATTTTTTAATTTTTAATAAAAAAGCACACCTTGGGGAGGTCTGGCAACCCTAACTCGAATATAAGTGCAAAGAAAATCATATTTAAGACAATATATTTATTTTAAACATTACTTTATTTCAGGCATATATAACACTTATTAGTATGAAAATGTTTCGTGCAATGAAAACAGTTAGAATTATATATAATATATCTTTATAAAGTCGTAGAAATGATTTTTTGATTTTAAAAAATTGGTAACTCAAACTTCTTTTTACTTTCATTTGGACAGTTCAGGTGATATTGTCAAAATAAATGACGCGTGTGTTTCCGGAGTAGAAAAACATGTTCCTGACACTTTTTCCTATAAAACATCTTTGAGTGAAACTGACTACAGAACCATCAGCATTACGCAAAGAAAAATACGAGCCGGCACGACTTCTACATCTTTGTCAAATGTGAATCTAGATTCTTGACAGTGCTTGGCGTGATGTTATAACAATTCTAAAGAAAAAGTTAATGACTTAATAGTAATGCTATTAAAAAATATCAAAGTCCATTTTATAATAACCTGAAAGAAAGGTGCCAAAGACTGAAATGTCACGGTTTTTTAGTTACTTTGATAATAGTACTTTTTTTATTTTTCAAAAATCAGGTGAGTTGGTTGTTGCTTTTACTGTAGAATAGCTTCTGTTAATGTGCCATGATAATTCTTGTTTTCTATAATTTTAACAACAGTAGCTCTTTGCCAGAAACTATAGGTCCGTTGTTTTTTATTGTTTAAATTTTAAAAGATTACTTATCTGATAGTTGTTTCTTTGATCTACTGTTTTATAGAGAAATATTGCACGTTATTTATGAAATTGAAATTGAGAGATCAATAATAGTACAAAACAAATCTCAAAACATATTTGTTGTTTTAAAAAGAGAATAATACAAATCATAATATAATTGTAAAAACATATCAGTATAAATTTTCTCGGAACTATTAATTTTTGGGTGTGACACTATTGCATATGTTATAAAATTGATATGAATTGTGAATAAGAGAAGAGAGGATATTTTTTTGTTATTTTTCTTCTAATTGGATGGTCGGTCTCTGGTAGTATTTGTATACGTGTTTTGAAGCTATTTAGAACATTAAAGGATGTCGTCATTAAGTTAACCAAATTGTAAAAAATAATCAATTTTTTGATTTCCGAATGTAGGTATGTATTTCAAAAATGCTCGACAAATGACAATTTTTAAATTTTTAAAACACAAGAAAGAATATATTTACAGCTTTTAATGCGTCAGATCATTTTATGAAAACAGTTGCCATTGATTTTAAGTCACAGAATGTTAATTTTTTTTAACGTGAAATAAGAATTAAACATTGTCGTTAGGGGGGTGTGGGGGCAATTTATAAAATTTATATATAAAAATGTACGACACGGACTTTAATTTAATTTTTATAGTTCCATAAGATAGAGCGACTAAAACAGTTACTTTTTCGTCTCTTGAACTGTTTTCATCTCTTGCTTCGCTTAAGAGATAAAAAAAACTATTTTATTGCATGTCTATTTATCATAAAAACATTTTTCTTTAGTCCAATAATATATGCAAACAATTCGACAAAAAATAACAATAATTCGATTTCTTAAGTCCTCTACTTTTTCCGAAGGAGTAACTTGAACGAAGGATTTTACGCTGCCATCAGGAAAAAATCCAAAAGGTTTAAATCGGGAGATCGTGCAGGCCATAAATGTCCACCTCGCCCAATACAGCGATTTCCGTAGGTTAGTGGCCAAAAACTCTGGAGCAACCTGACTGAAATGCGCTGATGACCCATCGTGCATAAACCACATTGCATTTGTTATTGCCAATGGTAAGATCTTCAGAAATCTGGGAAACCGTGCGTATTTTTCCAATACAGGCATTCAACGGGAACTGATAAATAAATCTTTATTATGAAAATTTATCAAATTGGCTTTGGGAGTTGAGGTAGCTGTATCTTCTTCAATCATGGTGCTGAACATGACTCAAGAATAGTCTTTCAGCTCTACCGCTCTTACTGTTCTTAGCCTTCCCGTTCCTTCACTTCGTTTTAATGTTCGATCGATTAAATTAAAGTCAGTGGCTCATTTTTATCAACATATTTTATAACTCCCCTAATGAAACTGTTTAATTTTTATTTAGTTATCTGTATCTTGGAAACAATGCATTTCCGAACCTGCATTTATAGGAAATTGTTTCATAAAATGATCTAAGCAATCACCACAATCACATTTTTTTAAACGTCCTGTATATAATATCTAACATAACATAATATCTCTAATAATAAATATAAGTAACAATTAAGTAACTTATATTCTGCATCCGCTCAACTAATCGGAACTCCACTTAAAAGCTATAGCTTTTGTTTCATGCGAACGATGAAAAGCGGGATAATACGTTAAAAACAAACCATAAAGATTCTCAGGACACCAGACTCAGAAACGAGGAGCGCAGCCGCCATATATGCCAGCGATATTTCGTCGGGTAGACTTAGATTACATTTTATGTCGCATCATATTATGGAAACGTAAAAATTCGGGGTAAGTATCGTTTCTGAGATTAGTTGAAAGTTTTCAGCGGCCTTATATAGTGTACATTCTGCATCACACAGCATAAGTTTGTTAAATTCGATTAGTAAAATACATTACAAATACAGAAACCTAATTTGCACGTGTTGCAATATTTCCTACCTGCAAATGATATCCAAACATACCGTTAACGATTTTAAGTTTCCATAATACTTATATTATGTTCAAATGTTATTTAAATCTACCCTAATAAAATGTCCGGCACAGCTTGCTTCCTCGTCCATCAGAGTCGGGTGGACGCGAAATTTTAACCAAATTTTCTTACGCACGCATCTGTCGGATGATGACTTAGCCTGTAACATGTTTTAAAAAATTTCTTCAAAATACAAAACAAAAACACCGAATGCGGAAGAAAATCTGGTCAAAACAAAACTTGCGGTATTATTCTATAGTAAACGAGGCATGTTCAAAATAAAAAGACTATATGTTATGATCACCAATACTATTTCCTTCTGCTGCTTTGTTATAATTCATTTTGCGGTAAATCGACTATATTACGAGTTATTATGGTTATTATGGCACCACTCACTCGACCATAAACATTTTAATATCAGTGGTGAAGAAAATTTGGCTGACATTTTTTTGTGTTTCCCCAAAGGAAAAAATGGTGAAAAACTTAATGAGATATTTCTAAAATGAAATGAATGACATGAAACAACTTGGAATCGCTTTGAAGA